CTGGCCGCGCCTGGATTCCGCATCTGTACGTCAGCCCCGCCTGTTGTCTCGGCAACAGCTCGTTGCCAGGGGCAACCAGCATTGCTCCTGCCCCGCCCGAGCCGAGCCACCCGGTGCTCGGGACAACCCAGGTCTCCGGTTCCCACGCCCGCCTTCGCCCACTTCCGGTTCACGCCGGTGGAGTCTGGCACCGAAGGGGTAGAAGTCGGCGGGATTCCTCGGGGGCCTTGGAGGGCGGGGGCATCCCTTTGGGATGGAACTAGGTCCTCGAGCCCACGCCAGCGCCCACCCTCCATCGCTGAGAGGCTGACACTACAACCCCCAGCATACCTCGCGGCTGCTGGCCGATTCCTATGCCGCTGGTCGCCCAGGGTGCCGATGGGAGTTGGAGTTCTTCGTTGTTCGGAAGCGCCAATGAATGCACGGGGTGGGCGTGGGGGGCTAGGGCTCTTGGGTGCCTCCACAGAAAGGACCGTGAGACCCCGCCGCCATGTTCCCGGAGCCCCCAACCCCAGGGCCTCCAGCGCCCGACACGCCTCCGGACTCGAGTCGCATCGGCCAGGGCCCTGGTGAGCGAGACTCGGGGCCAGAGTGGAGGGAAAGCCCGGCTAGGATTCTCAGGGGCGGGATTCGGACGGGTGTCCTCCGTTGGCGGACTGGAAAATCCGGGTGGTATTGTAGTTGGAATTCTGGACTTCGAGTGAAACGGAAGAGGGGCAGGTTTGCAAGAAAATAGAGAACCAGATCAGAAAGTGTGGAATGGAATGGGATCTTGGATTGTGGATTGGAAGGCCCACCTCTCCCTTCTTTCAAAGATAGGGAAACTGAAGCCAGGGAGGGGCATGGCTTCTAAATGCATTAGTGGGTCGAGCAGAAATTAGAAAGGGGGTGGAAGAGAAGGTGCAGTTAACAGGCAAGAAAATCTGGACGGTGTCAGCCTAGAATGAGGGCATCAAATCGCTTTATAGGTGAGGTCAGTTGGAAGGAAAACACGGGAATAAAATGGAATGGAAATGGCTGGAGGGAAAACCTGGCCAGGATTAAGGCTTGTACATGTAACCCGGACTGAATCAGCCAGCTTGCTTCCTAGGGCCTCACTGAGTGTTGTCTCCATGCCCTCTGCAGTACCCCCCTGGGCCCTGGCCACAATCGTTCTGGTCTCAGCCCTGCTCGTCTTCAGCTGCTGTTTCTGCCTCTACCGGAAGCGTTGTCGGAGGCGGTCGGGCAAGAAGATTCAGGCCCAAGCCCAGGTCCACCTTCAGGAAGTGAAGGAGCTGGGACGGAGTTACATAGACAAGGTGTGGCCTGGCCCAGCCCCTCAGCCCTGCCTCTCACCCCAGCCTCAGTCCATGCTCTCCCCCCTCCTGTGCCCATCTTATTCACTCATGTCCCCTGTGTGTTTAGCCCTAACTGGGACGCTGGGGACCTGGAGATGGGCCGGGGCCGGTCACTGTTCATGAGAACCAGCCTGGTGGGGAAGTCAGACACTCACACAGACATTCACAATTCAGGGTGTTATGTGCCATATCAGGGGCAGCACAGAGCATACTGGAGTGCAGAAAAACCACCTGGTAACCCAGAGAGTCCAAGGAAGCTTCCTAGTAGAGGCATCTTCTGTGCTGAGACCCAAGGAACACACAGAGTTAGCCAAGAACAGAGAGAAGGAACAGCATGTGCTGAGGCCTGGAATCCAGATTCTGAGGCATATCTGAGGAACCACGAGTCATTTTTCACTCTGTGCTGGAGCATAGAGTGTAAATATACTGCACTCCAGAGTGAGTGTCTGAAGAGCTCAGTAGTATCCATGTCACAAGGGCAATTGGGAGCCATGGAAGATTTGTGAGCAGGTGAGGAACAGGGTCTCGTGGGTGTTGGAATGACTCCTCCAGAACCCATGTGGAGGACACAGTTGAGGCAAAGAGGCCAGGGAGGAGGCTGGTGTGGCTGTCTCGAGAGAATGAAAGAAACATGAGTTGAAAGACGCCCTTGGAGCAAAAATGAAAGGTAACAGGTGTGAGGGTCTGAGCATTAGGCCTCTGAGTGCAGAGTGAAATGATGCTCACCTGGGAGCCAGGCTGTCCTAGGTTTCCAACCGAGAGGAACCATTCCCCAGCTCTGTGACCTAGGGAAATTCACTGTCCTTCTGTGAGCCTCAAGTTTGTGGTCTGTAACTTGTGTTTCCCCTCCTCCCTTGTCAACAAATGGCTGTTATCTGTTATAATTATCACCCATGACGCATGACCTTTAGAGTCTTGGGAGCCAGCCTCCACCCCTCCGTCCCTATCCCTTAAGCCAATGACGCCCAAAGACCATCTACATCAGAATCACCTCAGGTACTTGTGGAAACACAAGTTCTGGATCTTGCACCGGACCTGCTGAATCAGAACCTCTGAAGTCGGATTTCTCAGGAGAGTTCTGATTCACACTGAATTTTGAAAATTGATGGCTTAGGTTAAGAAGTCTTGTTCCGGTTCAGAATGGCCAGGACAGGCTAAATATACTATTTCTCCTCCATGTTTTTCTGTGGCAACATCACTAGTCAACACGTCAAGTTGGACAGCAACCCCAATATTCCTTTAGCGTGTGAAGTAGAACCTTCTGCGTCCTTCTTGTAGGCAGTGAGGCACTAGGAGTGCTTGTTCTTCTAGTCTAGGCACGACGCACTGCACGTGTCCCCATGTCTGTTCTGCCCCATAGCAGACATCATGAATCACGCCTTTACTGTTCCCTGCCTCTGCCAGACATCATTAATCAAACACCGATTCCGCTTGCCCTGCAAGTGCTCAGGTGTAGCCTGAGGGTTCTGTGAGTCTCCCTTGGCTTCTGGGCGTGGAGGATCCCACTGTCAGGGGGAAGAGTTCACCTGCCCTTGCCCCCGGCTCCCTAAGGTGCAGCCGGAAGTGGAGGAGCTGGAGCCAGCACCGTCTGGGCCAGGGTCGCAGGTGGCAGAGAAGCACGAGCTAGGACGACTGCAGTACTCACTCGATTACGATTTCCAGAGTGGACAGGTGGGTGTGGGGGAGGGGCATGGCGTGGAGGGGAGGGTCCGAGGGTTCTAGCCCCTTCTCAGAGGAGGCGCCAAAAAGGAGGCTAAGACTAGAGCCTCCTCGTCACTTTTCAGCTGCTGGTGGGCATCCTGCAAGCCGAGGGCCTGGCAGCCTTGGACCTGGGCGGCTCCTCCGACCCCTATGTGCGTGTCTACCTGCTGCCAGACAAGCGGCGGCGGCATGAGACCAAGGTGCATCGGCAGACGCTCAACCCACACTTTGGGGAGAACTTTGCGTTCAAGGTGAGCTCCTGGCCTCCATGCCCCGGGCTTGGCAACCTGCGCCCCGCCCCCACCCCCGTACCTGGAATCCTGGGGACCGACCGCTTCAGCTCTTCCTGTTGGCAGCCACCAGCTCTGGAGACTGTGACACTGGACCCTGGGTTGCCCTTGTGGGGCACTGCTGACCCCTGGGCTGTGCCTTGGGTCCTTGGGCTGTCCCATTTGGGTTCCACAGACTTCCCCACACCGGTCCCCTTGAACCTTTGCTGCCCGCCCCCTCCCCCCCGCCGTGTTCTACCTGGATGTGCTGCGCCCCTCTTCCTGTCTGTCTGACTTCCTACTCTCCACCCTGTGCTCTTTTCTCTGTGGCCTCCTCACCTAGGTCCCCTACGTGGAGCTGGGGGGCAGGGTACTGGTCATGGCGGTGTACGACTTCGACCGCTTCTCCCGCAACGATGCCATTGGGGAGGTGCGGATCCCCATGAGTTCCGTCGACTTGGGGCGGCCGGTGCTGGCCTGGCGTGAGCTGCAGGCAGCTCCTCGGGAGGAGGTGAGCAGGCGTGGCCACGCCCCCACGGCTGGGCCCGCCCACTGCGAGCCCGGGCCAATCAGATCACAGGCTTCTTGGACCTTCGGGGCTCTAGCCATTGCACCTGCCGCAAAGGGCTAGACCCGGGGGCTCTCCTGGTACAACCTCTCCACTCCTTGGGTTGTGCCTCTGTGGTCTTAACTCCACTCTAAGGGGAGGGGGAGGGAAGAAAGGTCCGAGAGGGGACGGATGGGAAGCAGGGGCTCCGGCGATGGGTCCTCCTCTGTCTTTTAGCAGGAGAAACTAGGTGACATCTGCTTCTCCCTCCGCTATGTCCCTACGGCCGGGAAACTCACCGTCATCGTCCTGGAGGCTAAGAACCTGAAGAAGATGGACGTAGGGGGGCTCTCCGGTGTGTGGGAAGCAAGGAAATGATCTCGGTGGTGGCGCGGAGGCTCAGTAGCACAGGATCTGTCTGTTTTCTGGGTCCTGAGCGTCCCTTGGGGGAGGGAGAGGCCAAGACTGCATTGGAGGATATAAATTTGCTTTGGTCAGAGAAAGAGAGAGAGACAGAGAGGCGTGAGGGGTGCGCAGAGGGTGTGCTGTTCCGGACTCTCATGCCCCCTTAACACGATCCCCTGGACTTGACAGTGGGGCTGTAAGACTCCTTTCTCTCCCCAGATCCATATGTCAAGGTCCACCTGCTTCAAGGCGGCAAAAAGGTGCGGAAGAAGAAAACGACCATCAAGAAGAACACTCTGAACCCCTATTACAATGAGGCCTTCAGTTTTGAGGTGCCCTGTGACCAGGTGCAGGTGAGCTCAGACTGCCCAAAGCCTCTGTCAGAACAGCCCTTCCCCCAGGGTCCCGGGCCATTAGAAACCCCTATTGCTAGGGGAAGGGAGACTCCTTAGCAACTTCCAGGTCCTGGGGGCCTGAGGTTGTGTTCCCAGTCTCAGTTTCCTCCTATGAGAGTCAGGGTGCCCCAACCCCAAACAAGACCAGGATGTCCCGCCCCCAAGCA